AATACTTTTGTTGTTGTTTGGTTATTTTGTTCTGTTAAAGTACTCAGCGGGAGAGGGCCTGTTGCCAACACTGCTGGGGGCTGGGATGGGGACCTGGTGGGTGGTCTCACCCCTAACTTCCAAGATAAGGTATATACTGTCACCTATGAGAAGTCACTACAGATTCTAGGGGCTGCCTTGCTCTGCTTGATAGCACTGGGAGGAGTGGGGCACCCTACAACCAACAAACACTCGCAATACTCAGCACAACCCTACATGTCTGACCCTACATGAAAATATATACACATAATGTGAGGGGATTGAACATCCCGACAAAAAGACACTTACTGTACCGGGAGCTTAAGAAACAATGCGCAGAAGTGGTGTGCTTACAGGAGACCCACTTCCGTACTAAGGATCATCCCCAGATTATGGAGTTAGAGTATCCACACCAATTCCATTCCACTTCCCCAACTAAAGCTAAAGGTACTTCCATATTGATAAGCAGACATGTCTCCTTTTCCCTAAAATCGCAGCACATAGATCAACTAGGCAGATACGTGGTGATAGTGGGAACGATAAATGACATAGAGTACACCATCGCGAATATCTATGCACCCAATCAAAATCAGAGGAACTTCCTACACAAAATTTTTCAAACACTAGTACCTATACAACAAGGTATAACACTTGTCTGTGGTGACTTTAACCACGTGCTTGACCCAACCATGGACTCCACCATACACCGAGCTAGTAGCAGATATAAAACCCTTAGACGTCAGGGCAAAGCCATCCAGTCCCTGCTGCACACCTACCACTACTACGACACTTGGAGGATCACACACCCCTCCGAGAGAGCATACACACACTTTTCACCTGTTCACAATTCGTACTCTAGAATTGATGGTTTCCTCCTCCAGGGATCCTACCTTAACCAAATCCTGAGTTGTGACATAGCACACATTACATGGTCAGACCATGCACCAGTACTTCTGCAGGTGAAAGACATGTATGACTTCAAACACCGCAGCCCATGGAGAATCAATGATTCTCTCCTTTTAAATCCGCAGTTTGTGGCCGATCTGACCACAGACATGAAGCGGTATTTCGAGGAAAATGAGACGCCCGAGGTATCGGCCACAACGGTCTGGATGGCACACAAGCCTGTAGTACGAGGTTTGCTAATACGTCGGGCATCTTACCTCCGAAAACAATCTCAAAAACTCACACTAGAGCTACAAAAAGAACTTTACGATTTAAATTTAGCGAATCAAATCTCCCCCACGGATGATAGACGCAGACGCATACTCCAAACCACTAGACGACTGCACACACAAGCACTAGAACGCACGGAACATAACCTAAACCGTCTAAAGCTACAACAATATAACCAGGGCAATAAAGCTAGCAAATTACTAGTGCACAGACTTAAGACGAGGCAAGCGGCACAAAAGATAGCCTACATCACTTCGCACACAGGCAAGAAATTGACCACCCCAAAGGCCATTAGCGACGAATTCGCACAATACTATGAGAAATTGTATAACCTGAGACTAGACTCCATGACACCGCAACCGATAGAGAGAGATATCCAGACATATCTAAGGGACATACACCTGCCACAACTCACAGCCCAACAACAGCTGGCACTTACGAAACCACTCTGCGCAGAGGAAATAAGGGATGTAATAAGGACCCTACCACCGGGTAAGGCCCCGGGACCTGATGGGCTAGACAACACGTATTACAAGAAATTCAGCACCACACTAGCGCCATACCTAGTCAAAGCCTACTCACAAGCTACAGAACATAAAGTTCTACCCCCTGAGATGCTGACTGCACACATAGTTACCTTGCCCAAACCAGGGAAGGCACCCACAATCACACAGAACTTTAGACCCATATCCCTTCTAAACACAGACGCCAAAATCTTGGCCAAAACATACGCGCTGAGGCTAGGGTCTATACTGCCCGAAATTATCCATAATGATCAAGTAGGCTTTATCAAGGGGAGGCAGGGAGCGGATAACACGAGGAAAGTACTAAACATCTTACATTACCTCCGCAAACAGAAACAAGGGGGGCTTATGGTTTCCCTGGACGCAGAGAAGGCCTTTGATCGCCTAAACTGGACTTTTCTGCGGGCAGTGTTAAAAAAGTTTAGAATCCCGGAGGGGTTTGTCTCAGTAGTAGAAGCCCTGTATAGTTCACCGAGAGCCCAAGTGCTCAACTCAGGTTTCCTCTCGGAACCAATAACATTAACTAATGGAACCAGGCAGGGATGCCCCTTATCACCCCTGTTATATGTTTTGGCCCTAGAACCGCTAGCGGTAAGAATCAGAAACAATCCAAACATCCATGGTGTCAGGATCAATGAACGAGAATACACTACCAACTTATTTGCTGACGATGTCCTACTGACGCTTACCCAGCCCCAGATCTCACTCCCCAATCTTTTACAAGAGATAACAACTTATGGCACCCACTCATACTACAAACTCAACATAACGAAAACACAGGCTATGGGAGTAGGTGTCCCGGTTGGCATACTAGACCTGCTGCAGAGGTCCTTTACACTAGACTGGAGGCAAGATCATCTAACTTTCTTAGGCATTAAAATCACAAAAAATCCGACAAACCTCGTAGCCGCGAACTATGACACATTGCTGAAGTCTATAGCGAACACATTGAAAGGATGGGAAGGCAAGTTTCTGTCATGGCTAGGAAGGATGGCCGCAATAAAAATGCTAGTGTTGCCGAAGTTCCAATATTTAATAAGAACCCTACAAATCCACATACCAAAGAGTTACCTAGATAACCTACATAAGCTATTCACGAGCTTCATATGGGCCCATCAAAAAGTAAGAGTATCAGCAAAAATATTGTGCAGACAGCAGGCAAACGGTGGCATGGGAATGCCAGACGTTCGGCAGTACTATAGGGCGGCTATCATGGCCACAGCTGTACAAGCACACGCTAGCAAAGACGTACCACAGTGGGTAGACATCGAGGCCTCGTGGGCGTGCCCTAGAGGTCTGAAGTACCTATTCTGGATTCCCCATAGATACAGAAAACTCCATCAAGACGTGCCACCCACGACGCGACTCTTATTGAAGGTATGGGACACTGCCACAAAACAATGGGGGCAAGACAAGGGGTGGGCGCAAGCGACTCCCCTCTACAGCCTATATTTGGCAAACCCAGCCTTCGACTACAGACCTTGGACAAGTAGGGGGTGTGTCAGGGTAAGCCACTTATACGACCAAAACAAACTACTTGACTTCCCAGACTTACAAAGGAAATACTCATTACCGCACAACACCATTTTCCAATACCTTCAATTAAAATCCATGCTACAAGGTTCCAACAGCCCCACTGCAACGGCCAACACAAAACATATTGACCAGATGTGTACAGCCACCACTCAACCCAAGAAATTATTATCCACACTTTATAATATGCTGATCCAATCACACGCAGACCCCCCAGACAAATTTAAGAGTGACTGGCAAGAGGACATAGGCAAAACCTTTACTGATCAACAATGGGGAAAAGCATTTTTAGCGCACAAAAAAAGGACAAGTTGTGCCTCTCACTTGGAACAAATGCGAAAACTCCAATACCGCTGGTACCTAGTACCGGAGCGATTAGCAAGGATATACCCAAATACCCCGAACACATGCTGGAGGTGTCAGGGAAATATAGGAACAATGTTTCACATCTGGTGGAGGTGCCCGAAAGTGGCAACATACTGGAGGGAAGTTGAGGAGTTAGCGAGAAGGGCCCTAGACAGGGAAATCACACTTACTCCGGAGTGCGGACTCCTGTTTATGGGGTTGGAAGAGCTCAATACCACAGACTCACGTATACTATTTCATATTCTCATAGCAGCAAACACTCTCATTGCCAGGGCGTGGAAGCAGGATCAGGCACCCACTAGAGAGGCACTGATTCAACAAATTACCACGAATATGATTTATGAAAAGGAACTACATAGACAAAGTTCCTCCAACAAATATGCCAACCTGGCGCATGCGAAATGGGAGATGAGACTGAGCAAGGAGGGAGAGTGACACAAAGAGGGAGAGGTGATGGCATACACCTGCGCAGAAAACCCACGTGTACATAGTTCTTTAGGGTATCGTTTAGTTTTTTTTAGTTTATCGTTTAAATCTGGTTAAAATGGGGGAGCCAAAATGCAGGACCAAGATGCATAGAAAGCTCATAGGAGAGTATAGGCTGGAATAACATGATGGCCGGGATATGACCAATGAGATCAAGAGCTTTAAAACTACACGGGACATGCATGAGAGATAACAGATTACCTACCCCCCCCTCCCCCCACCACTGGTACTAGATACTTGTCATCCAGGACGAGAGGAAGGAAGTGGGGTACATGTCATGCCATTGTTCATGCTGTTTAATGTTTAATGCCTGAATGTAAAGATGTCATTGAAATGTCTGAAGAAATCAAATCATGTAAACCCCCTTCCGCCCCTTTTCTCTTCTGTACCACTGGCGAAACCAATAAAAATTGTCAAATTGAAAAAAAAAAAAAAGGAGCCTAATTCCTGCCTACGGCCATACCACCCTGAACACGCCCGATCTCGTCTGATCTCGGAAGCTAAGCAGGGTTGGGCCTGGTTAGTACTTGGACGGGAGACCGCCTGGGAATACCACGTGTAGTAGGCTTTTGCTTTTTCAATCTCCTACCAGCAGAGGGCGATCTACGCTATGCAATTTCACCCAAAATTGCATTTAAAAAACAAAAAAAGAGAAATGTACAGATATTTCACTTCCATCTATCCACACATACATTCCAGGATGGCAGTCAGAAGTGACATTTAAGTGCAAGCCATAAGCAAGGCTTTCTATACTCCACTACAGCAGTGAACAAAAGCAACCAGCAGCACTAGCCCTTTTGAGCAGTGAGTTGCAACAGCAGCAAATGAAGAAGCTGTGAGGGAGGTGCCTGGCTGTTGAAGAACAGAATAAGAGGAGGTTAAAGGAGCCTAGTTGCTGCCTACGGCCATACCACCCTAAACACGCCTGATCTCTGAAGCTTAGCAGGGTCGGGCCTGGTTAGTACTTGGATGGGAGACCGCCTGGGAATACCAGGTGTTGTAGGCTTTTGCTTTTTCAATCTCCTACCAGCAGAGGGCGATCTACGCTATGCAATTTCACCCAAAAATTGCACTTAAAAAACAAAAAAAGAGATATGTACAGATATTTCACTTCCATCTATCCAAACATACATTCCAGGATGGCAGTCAGAAGTGACATTTAAGTGCAAGACATAAGCAAGGCTTTCTATACTCCACTCCAGCAGTGAACAAAAGCAACCAGCAGCACTAGCCCTTTTGAGCAGTGAGCTGCAACAGCAGCAAATGAAGAAGCTGTGAGGGAGGTGCCTGGCTGTTGAAGAACAGAATAAGAGGAGGTTAAAGGAGCCTAGATGCTGTCTACGGCCATACCACACTGAACACGCCCGATCTCGCCTGATCTCGAAAGCTAAGCAGGGTCGGGCCTGGTTAGTACTTGGATGGGAGACCGCTTGGGAATACCAGGTGTTGTAGGCTTTTGCTTTTTCAATCTCCTACCAGCAGAGGGCGATCTACGCTATGCAATTTCACCAAAAAATTGCATTTAAAACACAAAAAAAGAGAAATGTACAGATTTTTCACTTCCATCTATCCACACATACATTCCAGGATGGCAGTCAGAAGTGACATTTAAGTGCAAGCCATAAGCAAGGCTTTCTATACTCCACTCCAGCAGTGAACAAAAGCAACCAGCAGCACTAGCCCTTTGAGCAGTGAGTTGCAACAGCAGCACTAGCCCTTTGAGCAGTGAGTTGCAACAGCAGCAAATGACGAAGGTGCCTGGCTGTTGAAGAACAGAATAAGAGGAGGTTAAAGGAGCCTAGCTTCTGCCTACGGCCATACCACCCTGAAGACGCCCTATCTCGTCTGATCTCGGAAGCTAAGCAGGGTCGGGCCTGGTTAGTACTTGGATGGGAGACCGCTTGGGAATACCAGGTGTTGCAGGCTTTTGCTTTTTCAATCTCCTACCAGCAGAGGGAGATATACGCTATGCAATTTCACCCAAAAATTGCATTTAAAAAACAAAAAAAGAGAAATGTACAGATATTTCACTTCCATCTATCCACACATACATTCCAGGATGGCAGTCAGAAGTGACATTTAAGTGCAAGACATAAGCAAGGCTTTCTATACTCAACTACAGCAGTGAACAAAAGCAACCAGCAGCACTAGCCCTTTTGAGCAGTGAGTTGCAACAGCAACAAATGAAGAAGCTGTGAGGGAGGTGCCTGGCTGTTGAAGAACAGAATAAGAGGAGGTTAAGGAGCCTAGTTCCTGCCTACTGCCATACCACCCTGAACACGCCCGATCTCGTCTGATCTCGGAAGCTAAGCAGGGTCGGGCCTGGTTAGTACTTGGATGGGAGACCGCCTGGGAATACCAGGGGTTGTAGGCTTTTGCTTTTTCAATCTCCTACCAGCAGAGGGCGATCTACGCTATGCAATTTCACCCAAAAATTGCATTTAAAAAACAAAAAAAGAGAAATGTACAGATATTTCACTTCCAATTATCCACACATACATTCCAGGATGGCAGTCAGAAGTGACATTTAAGTGCAA